GATCACAGTCCTCGGGGGAGGACTTGTCCTGGAGGAGGTGGGAATGGAGGGTGGGCTGGGGGTAAGGGGAGGGCGTGGGAGGGGGGAGAATAGGGGAACCCATGGCTGATATGTAGAACTGAATGGTATTGTAAAATAAAAAATATATATCACAAAAAAAAAAAAAATAAATGTTTCCTTTAGTTGTGAGGAAAGTAAAAGAAGAAATTAAAAGAAGGCAGTGACATGTATATATGAAAAATTTTAAAAAATTCCTACCGTGTGGGGAGTGTGGTGGTACATGCTTGCCTCTGTGATTGTGGCTGTGTATATGTATGCATGCGGGAGGTGCTTAGAGGAAATGTTCTTTATTGGTTCTGTCTTTGGGAAGTGCCTTTTGACTTCTGTAACTGATAAATGTATGAACATGACTACTCCATGGAATGGCTAAGGGGAAGGTTTTTATTGTAGATATGAGAGAGAGAACAGGAAGAGTCCAGAGCAGAGAGAGAAGTAGACTGAATATGGCCAGCAGACTGTACCTGGCCATGAAGAAAGAGGAAGAAGAGAGAGAGAGAGAGAGAGAGAAGGAAGAGGAGGAGGAGGATGAAGACCCACACAAAGAGAGGCCAAAGCATGGTGATAGGGAGAGAAGGTGACAGAAAAGCTAGGATGTGGACTTGGAAATATGTAACAGGTACTTGTGATACCGAGGGAGCCTGGAGGCCAGCGTGAACTTTGACATGTTACTAGACACCACAGGTAGCCATATGTCCCTCTGCCAGTGATAAGGGAAAGGACTCCTTTTCGTAGAGGGAAAGCAGCTTACTAATTTGACCTGTTGGGCGTAGGAGTTGGGGAATTTACACAGAACAACCTTTTCCATTTTGTCCCATTGGGTTTTCAGTATATGTTGCTTTAAGTGACACTTTGGAATTAGTCCCTGCAGATTTTTACTCCTATCCCTTTCATCGAAATTAAAATGGTATTCCATATGTGCCATTCTAGGACTGTGATTTATGGGAGCACACATCAGTCTTACTTGTTTTATTTTTCTGGAAATACAATTTCCTAATCTGTAGACTGGAAATACACACATATCACACACACACACACACACACACACACACACTTATGTGCATATATATCATCCTGAGTTTCTGACTTGGTCAAATTTAGTATGGATATTAATATGTACTAATACAACAAGCAAAGCTTAAACTGTTAAGCAGAATGTTAAATGATACTTTATGTGAGCTATGAGTAGTTTTCTTTCACATTTATAGCAAACATTCTGAACTTTGATAATTTTTAAAAACATCTCAAGAGTGACTTTTCTTCACAATGCTTTTGCACAATATTCAAGATGAGAGATAAATTACAAACATCCAACGTCACAACATATGTCTGAAATGCAGTCGCCAGTTGAAGTGTTCTGAAGTGTGAAGTAGAAATTATGAAAACTGCCCTCTCTGCACCAGCCTTGTTGACAAAACTGTCAGAGCAGATGCTGTGGCTCTGGCAAAGCCTTCTTTCCCTGGGAAGCTTAGTTCCCCATAAACATCAGCTTCTCTTAAAGTTCTTTATCTCAGAAGTGCTAAAGCAGTTTAAAAGATTTTATACACCTAAGAACCTTATTTTTTTCCTACATACTTTGATTGAAGAACTGAATACCACCTTTTCCGAATGAAAAATTGAAATGACTAAGATAATGTCATCTTGTTCTGATTCCATTTTGTGTTTGCTTAGACAGTGTGTGTGTGTGTGTGTGTGTGTGTGTGTGTGTGTGTGTGTGTGTGTGGTGTGTACTCATGCACAAATGTTAACAAGAAAGGAGGACTTATGATCTAGAATTTAAAAGTAATTGTGGATTGATGGTGGTGTGTATTAGCATAATCCTGTATTTCAATATGCCATCATTTATTTAATGTCAAATCATATATGCTGACCTATATCAGCTCTTAAGTTTATTAAAGTAGTCGTTATTAAATTACACATCAATCTGACTGTACAG